CACGTTCAGCGATTGCTTCTCATGAGCTGTCCTCCTCGTGGTTTGAGAGAGTCTCTGTCACTGGCTTGGGGCTGTCCCCTGGTTTGGCTAGGCGGTGAGTGCAGGAATCGCCCAGCCTGCTTCTCCTGCAGCTGGATGACAAGTGTATGCCTCTGCGCCCAGCTTCGTTCCACAAGCTCTGGGGATCAGGCTCCCATCCTCGTGTTTCTAAGACAGGCACTTCTCCAACTGAGCCATCTTTCCTGTCACATGTTCATGGCAGAAAGCCAGGCCCCAAGATGGCCCTGGTACCAGATGTACCCTTAGCAGCAGCACAGAGGCATTGGCAGCTATTTCGAGCCGCTGGGAGTGCTATGAGGGGATCCAGGAAGGAGGGGTGCTAGCTGCTAAACCTTTCCACGCAAAGGCCAGGAACCTCTCACCCCTGAACTGAGCCTTGCAGTCGGAAGATTTGATGGGGCCTACTCCGTCTTCGGCTGTCATATTTGGACAGCTCAGCACAGCAGCTCTTGACACAAAGTAATAATTGTCAGAAGAGGGTCAGGGCTTCACCAGCTGGGAAAACCCAAGAGCACCCCTTCAGAGGAACCCGGGCCTGTCCATTAGCAGGTCGGGGAACTTGCCCTGCTAGCATTTGCATCCTTTCTGCCTCATCAGGACATCCGACATGGGTGACATCCCTGAGGGGATGAGGCTGTGATATGCCCGCCCTCCTGCTGAATAGTGCTTCACAGATGAACCTAAATACCGCAATAATTATAAAAAGTCATAAACGCCAATTCGTAGTTCCTTTTGTCTTATTACAAAAGAAACAAATACTCTGAAAACCGGAAACAACAGCCAAGCATACAAACGAAGTGAACAGGACTTCCTCTGTGAGAGCTGCTCCTGTGAGGGTAGGGAAGCTCAGGGCCCTGTCAGTGCTGAGGCTCCTGTGCGCGGTGTATTCAGGCGCGTGTGCTTGTCTGTGAAGATGTCTTGACGAGCAAACACTTTTACTTAAAATAGAAGCCAGTCGTCAGTATAAGCAGAGACGCTATGAGATCACACATTTAAAGATATTCTGGTCACTTCCATATCTTTAGCAGCATTTTCCCATGTTCCACAAAATGGACTCTGGAATTTGTTGTAAAGGCTGGGGAATATGAATGAAGTTCAGCAACACAGACTGGGCAGCGTTGTTTTCCCAGCCCAGGGGCCCGGGGCCAGGCACCAGGGGCTGCGTCTTGGCATAACCCTGATGGGAGCTGACCCTATGGTCCAAGGAGCCAGGTCTCCTTTCCAGCTCTCTGGGTCCCTCGGGAGATTGTGACGGGGGAGGGAAAAGAGAGAGGGTGAGGAGGTGCTTGTTGGTTGTGATTCTAGAAACTCAAGCACTTTCTCCCAAGCTCCTCCTGGGTGTGGCTGAGGAGACAACTGGAACCCTCAGTTCTTCATTGTTCTCTCTCATTCTCATCAAGTACAGAAAAGGGCAGTGGGGGTGGAGGCAGCGAGCAGAGGGAAGAGGCAAGTACATTCCAGCATCACCGGAGCTTTGTGTGGAATCCGTGCTGCACCGCGCTCACTCCCTGAGGAACTTGGTGTTGTCACTTACTCCGTCATGGAGAAAGGCTTGGGAGGAGGCTCAGTGGAGGGACACTTGCCTCACACGTGAAGGCCCTAGTTCTGCAATTCCTGGCGCCGGAGGACGACATCTCAAACTCCAGGCACGCTAAGAATATGGATCACGAAGGTAGTTTTCAAGGCATCAGGCAGGCCTCCTTACTGAAGAAAGAGCTTTGGTGAGGTGTAACCAATGTCTTCATTTGTCGCTGCGTGCGTGTGGTAGGTGCGTGGTACGCACGCGTGAACGTGCATGTGTATGCACCATAAACGCACATGTGCAGGCCATCACGTGTCTTCCTCTATCACTCCCCTCCTTCCTGCCTCAGTGGGCGTCTCTCAAGGTAATGGGAGGCTCTTCCAGGCCAAGCGAGCTGTGGACGGTGATCCGACCCTGAAGCCCCAGGCTGGGGTTAGGGCCATAAAAAGCTGATTCCGGCTAACTGGTGGCTTTCCAAAAGCCAGTGTTTACTGTATACAGCTGATGACTGTGGACACGCATGCTTGTCAGTGACTAAACCCGAGGTGACAGACACAATGTCCATCACCTCCGAACTCTCCCTGCAGCCTTTGTGGGTTTATTGCTTCATTTGTGCCTTTGTCTATTTGCCATTGTCATTTTTGCTTTATGGAGGAGGCAACTCGTAATGAAAGATCTGCCCTCTTCATTTTCGTTTCTCTCGAGACGGGATCTCACTACATAGGTCAGGCTGGCCTGGAAATACAAATCTTCTTGCCTCCACCTCCCCAAACCCTGGGATTACAGCCATCGTGACACTACAGCTTAACTACGTGCACATTTTATCCCATGGGAAGACACTAGAAACTCTTCAGCTACACAGCTGAAACTCATGCCAGCCGAGGAGTGCCCCCGATTCTCATGCTTGGCCCCAGGAAACCCCATTCTATTCTGCACATCTGCGAGTTTATTTCAATACTTATTCAGTTCAGAATCCCTCCTTCTGTGACTGGCTTATTTCGCTTTGCATCTTGACTTCCAGGTTTCTCAGTGTTGACAAAACACAGCCAGACTTCTGTCTTTACACGGGTTAACTAGCATCCTAGTCTATGTGTATTCTCTGCTTCCTTTACTTATTCATCACTCCTGGTTCCATCACTGAGCTATTTTGAATAATAGTGCAGTTGCATAAGAAAAAACTCAGAGACATCCACTCTCTATGGAGGAAGTAAATCTGTAGCTGTGAATAGACAGTGTGGTCTGACATCTAGAAGATTCTAAAGAATCCGTGAAAACGCTGCTATAACTGATAATAATACAAACAAATTCAGAAACAATTCAGGATACACTATCAACATACAACAATAATTGGCACCTTATACATGACCAACAAACCATCCCAAAGGAAACGAAGAAAACAGCTCAGAGTATAGCAGCATCAAAAATAATACAATCGGCAAGATGATCCTTTTAAGTTCTTATCTACAATCTCTATTTACAGACTCCGAGCAAGCATCATCAAAAACCCAATGCTCACAGAAACAAAATAAATAATCCCATATTTCATATGGGGCCAAAAAGAACCAAAAAAAAAAAATCTAAAGAAAAAAAATAACAAAGTCAGAGGCACCATTCTTTCTGATTTCCAAATATATTAAAATCTATAGTAAACAAAACAGCTTTTATTGCCAGTATGGCGGCACTTGCCAGTAAGCCCAGAATTTAGAAAGCTGAGGCAGGAGGATTAAGCTGAAGGCCACCCTGGGCTAGTGAAGTAGTCAAGCTCTGTTTCAAACCACCACTAGCCAGTATGGGCCTGGAATTAAAACCACAGAGAGAAGCTGGTGAGATGGCCCAGTGGTTAGGGAACTTGCCACCAACCTTGACAATCCAAGCCTGTCCCTGAACACACACGGTAAAGGAGACAGCCAACTCCTGCAAGATGCCCACCTACATCCACAAAGGCACAAGAGCACACACATGCTATAAACATTGCAATAAACAAGCGCAAATTTAAAAATCGTTTACACGAGATAATGGAACAGTATAGCAAGCCATGAAACAAACCCACAGAACTGGTCAGCTGGTCTCTGACAAGGTGCCGAGACTAGCCGCCTGGAAAAGGACAGTCAGTCTCTCATGTCAACACCTGCTCTTGAGAAAACTGGACAGCCAAATGAAGAAAAAAAAATTCACACGGGATTAAAGATCTAAACTATAAATTCCTGAAGGAAATTACAGGGAGAAACGTATTGACACTTGTCTCTGCAATGATTTACTAAGCATTGACTAAAGAGGCAGCACTGTGTGAGACCGAATGTTCCACCAGCACAGAAAACAACTGGCAGTGGAAACAGCCTATGGAGTGAGGGAAAATATTTGCAGACCACTCAGACTATCAGGAGCAACTATCCGAAATACACAAACACTCCTTCGACACAACTGCAAACAGTGGCAACAAACATTCGATAAAACACCAAATGGTCCAACTCAGAAGAGGGCAAAGAACTGGAATGAGGACTCTCACGGAGGGCGTGCGAATGACGAGGTTTTCAACACCAGTAAGCTACCCCGCCCCCAGGAAATGCTAATCAGACAGTTTTTCTAAAACATAATCCTTAGCAACCTCACGTTTTTCTAACTTGTGGGTAAACACCACTGTTTTTAGCCTGGGCTTTCCATTTTCAATTGATCATCTAACTGATCCAAATACACCCCTTCAGGATGAACACTTTACGTAAGTGTGATGCTCCGATCCACCAGTAGAGGGCAGGGGAGGGCAAGAGAGGGGTACTGCTCGCTCTACCGTGCTGGCTATGGTCTACGCTGCTCCTGCCGCCCTGCTGGTTGGTGGTACGTATGCTTGGCACATGTGTCCTAGCACATCTGTCCTGGTGGCTTCAGGACCTCGGGCCTCCCCAATGACCTTGCTGAAGGTCCCCCTGCACACATACCAGTACGCCCCAAGCCTCCGGCCAGCAGCAATGCCTTGACCTCTCTGTGCGCTGTGCACCTTGTCTAACCTGTACTGGGAGGCTGTGGCTGCTGCCCAGTGACATGGGCCACGTCTGGCCAAGGCCGCCCTGCGGAGTTTGTGCTGTCGTTGTGATCTGAACATAGAACGGGCCCCTCAGACATTCACGGTTATGTTGGCAGAAGGTAGAAACTTTAGAGGGCAGGGACGAGCCCAGGTCCCCTGGGTCTGGCTTGGGGTGCTCTGCTTGGCTCGGGATCCCATTTGCATTTTCTCTGTTTCCTGGCCTCGGTGGTGCGGTGGGTTCTGCTTCACCACGCCCTCCCTCGCCCCTCCCTGGTGGACTGACACTTCTGAAGCCATGAGGGAAATAAATTCTCCCTTCTTCTGCTTCTGTTGGCAGTCTGTCACACGGACACAGATCTAGTTAACTCGAGCACCGCGTGTAAGTTTGCCCTGCCCTGCGCATGCACCCTCTCGGCCCCAGGGTGTCCTCCAGAGCCCTCCTTCCACACCTCCTCCTGCTGCTCAACAATCCTTTACAGGTGTCTTCCCTTGTTCAAATCATTTTCTAGCCTCTGCCTCCTGAACAGCCCCGCATGAACATCAGCAAGGACTGTGCATTGCCGTAAAGTAAACTTGACGTCAGACAGGAAAAACCCACTGGAACGAAGCATGTACTTATTGAAACTGTTATGTACCAGGCAGCTCTAACAGGGGCTAGAGGCTCGAGGATCTTTACTAAGAGCTGTGAGAACTAACTCAGGCAGTGTGCAGTCCCATGGCAGATCCCGTGGTCCCAGTCAGACAGAACAAACAGGGAGATTGAGAGGGGGCAGCTGAGCTCAAGGTGACACTAGACAAGAATTCCTGATGAAAGTCAGACCTGCACGGTGCTTGTCTACTGCTGCCTCGCTAGGGTCAGATGGAAATGTCACTGTTCCCCCTAAACATGGGGGCTGAGACTTCTCGTCACTGGAGATGGCTGAAATCCCATGTTGTAACAAGCAAAGAGCAAAGATTCAGAGAACAGAAGATGAAGGTCCCAGAACTCAGAAAGAGAACTCGCGAATGCACAGTTAACAACATTCAAAATATTGAATGCAGAAAGCTCTGTGTGACCCATTTCTTGATTCTGTTGAGAGAAAGGGGCCCTTCCCAAAACAGGAGACGACAGGTCAGCCCTTGTCTGTGAAAGACAGACACCCTCTGTCCTGCCACCAAAGGGTAGTTATGTTAATCAGCTCTTTTCAGTATAGGTTGTAAATGTAATAACCCAACATGGCTTCTGTGTGACTCCGTGTCTTTCCTTCATAAATCAGGAACAACGGGGTCGCCTCTGGACACTCGAGATTCCACCTACTGCAGCCTCCTGCCAGGGGCTTCTTGTTTAGAGTGTGAGGCTGGAGACAAACTTTAGCAATTACACAGGAGAGCAAATGGTGATGGCGACGGGCCAGAGACCAGAGGACACGGCCTCCCTGCTTCATCACCTGAGGTCATCTCGCTGTCTCACATGCCTGTGGGTCCCCCTGCGCAGAATTAGAGTCTCCCCATGGTCCCTGTTCATGGAGTTGGGGCTAGAATCTAACATAAAAGTACAGCCTGTTCCTTCTAATGACAAGAGCAAGGACCTGTTTTGTGCCTTTCCCCTTGTCTCTGGAATTGCTTGGCAATCTCTTCCTTCATGTTCACATGGTTTCTCTCTCTCTTTCTCTCCCTGTCTCTGTGTGTGTCTGCATCCTCTTTTTAAAAGGACATCAATTTAACAGCCTCCCTCCAGCTTCATTTTAACTTACTACATCTGCAGAGAATGTCTCTCCCAACAGCCATATGCCAAGGTATTGTGTTTAAGACACCAGCATAAGAGTTTGGGGTAACACAACAACGCATTAACTAGGGAGGTAGCAGTGGTCCTGTCATTACTGCTCACAGAGAGCCACGCTATGAGGGTGCTATGGGACACATACGGTGCTGGCCCCTTGTTCCGTCCTAATGTTATGCTTAGAGTCAGGCCTTCAAGGCCACATGGGAAGACCCCTCGTCAGGTAGGCTAGTGGCCTTGAAAGAAGAAAGAGATCCCCAGAACTGAATTAGCCAGTACCTCAATCTTAGATTTCCAGCCTCTACAACTATGAGCAATAAATGCTTGATGCCCAAGCCCCTCAAACTGCAGCCCTCGGCTACAGCAGCCTGAACAGACTTAGACAGAGGAGACCAATATTTCCAGGAAAGGGAGCCACTGGCTTTGTTGGCATTCTCATTGAAAGAGGATCTCTGGGATTTGAGGGAGGGGAAATTGGCAATAGATGGGGAGGCTTCAGAGCAGGGGCGCGGGGAGGGAGAGAAGAAGAGAGAGAAGGTGCCCTGGAGAGGTCCATTTTGTACATTGGAAGACAGGTCCTGGGGGGTGGGGGAGGGGAGGGCTGGAGAAGTGTTTGCACCTTCCCCCAGCTCTGTGTGGCTTTGTAATTGGCTGCCAGAATGCTCCTGCTGCTTGTGATGGCCTGAGCCATTGCACCTTCCCAACTGCTGCAGAATGACACACCCTGGCCTGGTGCAAAATTCTGTCACCACAGAAGGATCACTTACACTCTCTCTCCGCTATGGGCGTGGGGATGGTGGCAGGGCAGGAGGCGGGGGGGGGGGGCAAGCCGACATCTGCTTCCAAGCTTTGGGAACCGTGCATTCCGTTAAGGGAGGATGTCTAATAAGTACGCCCTGTGTGCGTAATTGTTTTTATATTAAGTAGACTTACTGCTGTGCCAGTGACAGAGCACACCCAATAAGGCGCATGCCCGATAGTAGTGTTTATAAATGTGGGCAAAAGGTCTAATACTGGCTTCTCTCTTTCCAGGGAGAGATCTGTTCTCCCAGAGGCTCATGCTCTCCACTTCAGAGACTTCTAATTTCCAAGACATCCTGCTCCTACAACAGACTCTGAGTTAATTAAGCTGCTTAGCATGCTCCTGGGTGTCCTTGTGCTTCACAAAAGGCCAACTTCTCACCTTCTTTAAAGGGACTGTGTTGGACGCGTACCTGGGGAAATAGAACGCTGCTGAGAAAGGTCCCTACATCGTGGCCTTTAGAACCCTCTCCTAACATAGAGCAGAGTTGTTTTAATACCTGCCCCCATGGGCTTTGGGAAGATTTCTCCAGTGAAAATCCCTTAAAGGAGTAACTAGCACAAAATGGAAGCCTGGTAAACAGTCTGTTATCACGGCTACCAATAATCTGGGCTGGTGCAGCTGGGACTCCTGTTTAGAATTCCCAGCCAAACGAAGGGTTAGCACTCCAGGGAAAGCCCTTAGATCACCTGAGCTGGGTAGTAGACTTCTGAGATACAGAAAATGCCTTGTTTTCTTGACAGTCAAGATTACAGGGAAGGTAAACTGGGATTACATCTCAGAAGACGCTAGAGGAGGCGCAACCAGTGAACTGTACCTCACTACTCTTCTCTTCTTCCTTTCAACAAGGAACCCTTTACTGAGGACAGCTGGGGCCTCCTTTAACTTTTTACAAAAACATAGCCCCTCTGTTGAGACCTAATTTAGTTTTTAGCATAACTGTAGCTCCTTTATTGACACCTGCTTTAGTGTTTAGCATAACTAAAGCCATGTTATCTTTCGTATCCTTTTTGATCGAAAGGTGAAATGGAGTTCAAGTTCTCAGGCTCTGCCTGCCTGACACAAGAATAGCCTTTTATGGCCTTTGACAAAAATCCAACACCCCTTCATAATAAAAGTCTTGGAGAGATCAGGGCTACAAGGCTCATACTTATAATAAAGGCAATACACAGCAAGCTGATAGCCAACATCAAATTAAAGCAATTTCACTAAAATCAGGCATAGGACAAGGCTGCCCACTCTCTCCATATCTATTCAACATAGTACTTGAAGTCCTAGCTTGAGCAATAAGACAACTAAAGGAGATCAAGTAGATACAAATTGGAAAGAAAGAAGTCAAAGTATTGCTATTTGCAAATGATGTAATAGTATATTTAAGTGACCCAAAATTCCACCAGAGAAATTCTACAGCTGATAAAATACCTTCAGTAAAGTGGCTGTATACAAAATTAACTAAAAAAAAAAAAAAAAAAAAAATCAGTAGCCCTTCTTTATACAAATGATAAACGTGCTGAGAAAGAAATTAGGGAAACAATGAGAGACCAAAAGATTAAAAATTAGCAGCTGTTATTTAAGGCCTGAACTAGCTGGGTGGAGAAGTCCAAGAATGCCCTGAGGGGAAGAACTGCCTTACTGAGTTCTTTCTCCACCTACTAGAGATACGGTTGCTAGGAAACTGGCCCATCCCCCTAGGGAGGGACACCAGGTCATTAATGGTCTGGAGACCTTCCTATAGTCAGTCAATTCAAAATGTGGCATTTTGACCAATAGATGCTTGCCAGGCAGGAACTGCCCCTGCCTTGGGCATACTGGGAGGGACCAGAATCTTCACATCACCCAATTAACCTGAGCACGGGGCTCTCGGCTCTCACCACTTAGGCGGTTGGGGGGTGTGAGCCCAAGCTGCAGCTTGTAATGATTTATAATAAAAAGAACCTCATGTATTTACAGCGGAGTCTAGTTATTCCTGGTCTTTTGGGGTTCGTGAACTGGGCAGAACAACAACATCCTTCACAATAGCCACAAATAATAAAAAATGTATTGGTGTAACTCTAACCAAGCAAGTGAAAGATCTGTATGACAAGAACTTCAATTCTCTGAAGAAAGAAATTGAAGAAGATATCAGAAGATGGAAAGACGTCCGATGCTCATGAATCAGTAGGATTAACATAGTAAAAATGGCCATCCTGCCAAAAGCAATCTACAGTTTCAATGCAATTACCATGAAAATTCCAACATAATTCTTTTCAGACATTAAAAAAGCAATTCTCAACTTCATATAGAAAAATTTTAAACCTAGGATAGCAAAAATAATCCCGTACAATAAAAAGAGCTTCTGGAAGTATCACTACACCTGATTTCAAGTTGTATTACAGAGCAATAGTAATAAAAACTGCATGGAATTGGCATAACAGAGTCAATCAATGGAATCAAATCAAAGACCCAGAAATAAACCTACATACCTACAGACACTTGATTTTTGACAAAGAAGCCAAAACCATACAATGGAAAAAAGAAGGCATCTTAAGCAAATGGTGCTGATCTAACTGAATGTCTACATGTAGAAAAATGCAAATAAATCCATATTTATCACCCTGCACAAAACTCAAGTCCAAGTGAATCAAAGACCTCAACATAAAAGCAGACACACTAAATTTCATAGAAAAGAAAGTGGGGAAGAGCTTTGAACTCATTGGCACAGGAGACAACTTCCTGAAAAGAACACCAACAGCTCAGGCTCTAAGATCAACAATTAATAAACGGGACCTCATGAAACTGAAAATCTTCTGTAAGGCAAAGGACACTGTCAATAGAACAAAATGACAAACTACAGATTGCGAAAAGATCTTCACCAATCCTACATCCAACAGAGGGTTAATACCAAAATATACAAAGAACTCAAAAATGTAAACACCAACAAACAAAATAAAATTAAAAATAGGGTACAGAGCTAAACAGAATTCTCAACAGAGGTATCTCCAATGGCTGAGAAACATTTAAAGAAACACTCAAGGTTCTTAGTCACGAGGGAAATGCAAATCAAAGCAATTCTGAGATTTCATCTTACATCCGTCAGAATGGCTAAGATCAAAAACTCAAGTGACAGCACATGTTGGCGAGAATGTGGAGCAAGGAGAACCCTCCTCCATTGCTGGTGGGAGTACAAACTTGTACAACCACTTTGGAAATCAATCTGGTGCTTTCTCAGAAAATTGGGAATAGCTCTACCTCAAGACCCAACTATAACACTCCTGGGCATATACCCAAATGATGTTCCACCAGTCAACAAAGATATTTGCTCAACCATGTTCATAGCAGCTTTATTTGTAATAGCCAGAAACTAAAAACTACCCAGATGCCCCTCAACTGAAGTATAAAGAATAGATACACAATGGAATACTACTCGCTATTGAAAACAAGGAAATCATGAAATTTGGAGGCAAATGGATGCAACTAGAAAAGATCATCCTGAGTGAAGTTACCCAGACCCAAAAAGACACACATGGTATGTACTCACTCATAAGCAGATATTAGCCATTAGTACAGGATAACCATTCTCCAATTAACAGACCCAAAAAAAGATAAGTAACAAGGAGAACCCAAGGGATGATACTTAAATATCTCTCAAAAGTAGAAACAGAATAGACAGTGGAAGTAATTGAAGACAGGGGTCAGGGTTGGAGAGTGAGCATGCTGAGAAATGAGGGTACAGACCAGCCTGAAGAGAGGGAATGGGAGGACAGGGGGCCTGCAGAGAGAAAAGAAATCATGGGCAGGGCCATATGTGAGACAAGCTGGAGACACAGGACAGGTTAGGCTCCTAGCAGGATATAAGGGTGACTTTAGCAGGGGTCATGGAGACTGAAGAGGCCACCCTCTAACTAGACTAGACTCCTAGTGGAGGGAGGAGACTTAGGCCCAAAATGTACCCTGCCTACAAGATATGCAGGGATTAAGACAGAACAAAGATTGAGGGAATGTCCAACCAATGCCTGGCTCAACCTGAGACCCACCCTGTGGGAGAGTGCCAAGCGCTGACACTATTAAGTGTACTCTGCTATGATTGCAGATAGGAGCCTAGCACAGCTGTCCTCCGAAAGGCTCCACCCAACAGCGGATTGAAACAGATGCTGAGGCCCACAGCCAAACACTGGGTGGAGTGCAGGGAATCTTGTGGGAGATGGTGGAAAAGAAGAGAGGGACTCAGAGGGGACAGGAGTCCCACGTGAAGACCAACAGATCCAACTAACCTAGACCCACACACCTAGGCATCTTACACATACATAGACAATGGGTAGCTTGGCCAACATGTGGGTCCCCTAGAAAGGGGAGAGGGGGCTGTCTCTGGTATAGACTGTGTCGCCTGCTTTTTGATCACTTCCCCTTGGTGGGGCTGCCTCACCAGGCCAAGGGGAAGAAGATGCAAAAAGTCCTGATGTGACTTGATTGCTAGTGTGAGTTGGGGAGAAGGCTCCCCTTATCTGAGGAGTAGGTGGAGGAAGTGGCAGGGAGGATGGGCATGGGAGGAGGGAGGGCCTATGATAGGGATGTAAAGTAGATTAATTAAAAATAATTAATTAAATTAATAAAATAAATAATTAATTAAAATAACTTTTACTTAAAATACTTGTTGAATGCAATGATACATGTATGTTCTGCTTAAGCAAAACCACAATACCCTGCTATGTTCCTTTCTCCCAGAATGGTAGGGAACTAGAAAGTCCCCATACCCTCAATCCCAGCCAATCAGCTTATAATGCTTTGTCTAGCTACCTAGACACAACGTATCTGGAACAGAAGTGATTCCTCCTGCTTGGTTATAGTGGGGGTTTTTTGTTTTTGTTTTTTTGTTTGTTTGGTTGGTTGGTTGGTTGGTTTGGTTTGGTTTGGTTTGTTTGGTTTTGTGTGTGTGTGTGTGTGTGTGTGTGTGTGTGTGTGTGTGTGTTTTTCTTTTAAAAACTCACCACAAGAATGGCTCAGGGTCACAGTCTTGGTTCCTGAATCTAGACTGTGTCCCTGACTGGTCAGATTTTGCTAAGCCTTTAATAAACCTCCATCTGTCTGAGTCTGGTGAGGGGTCAGTGTGCAGCTATCCCTGAAACACAACATACATGACATGTGGAGCAGAAAGTGCACTCCCCAGAACCCACTGCAGTTCCGTGGGGCTGGCTAGATTCCAGCCCAGGAATGGTGGAAAGTGATTTGTGTAAGTTACAGATCATTTTCAAGAAGAAACGTGTTCTCATTTGGCCTTCATGTAGAATGGAATGCAGATATTCTGGAGTGACTCAAACTCAGTACTGCAGGCAGAAGAAGACACGCTTGGAATAGGTGGAAAAATCTGACCCTGCGTCCCTGATGGCCCGTGAGGTGAGGACAGAACAACTCTGTACCTAAACCTCCTTTAGATTATCCTGAGTGCCTGTCCAACCACTGAGAACTGGAAGAGAAAGGAAGTGGAGCAGTGTGCCTGTCAGCGTCCAGGATTCCAGACCCAGAGGAGCCTACGAGGGCTGCAAGTGGACAATCACACTGCAGTAATACATGCAAGCGGGCTGGATGACGAAACTGGACGGAACTATGAACCAGGAGCCGGGCTGTGGGGAGGGGCTGGTGGGACATCTGTGTGGCCATGGGGACCAACTGGACCAGAGGCTGCATTATTACATGAGATCTGGTCCTCTTTTAAATAGGCTCCCCTCTCAACTACCCTTCATCTGGGCTTATCCGTGACCCTCTGGCTGTGCTCGCATTGTGCAGTCAGCGCTGTCCTGAGGGGAACCAGCAGAGGGGACGAATGTGTTCTGCTCATGTTCGGTGGACATTGCTTGTTGCACTCTTCCTTTCTGTGGACAGCAACGGGAATGGTCAACTCAATTTTTAGCTAAGCAGTGGGCACAGCCTAGAGCACAGCAGAGCCACAAGAGAAGACGCTGTGCCCGCATGCGCCTGCGGATTGTTACTCAGCCACTCTCGGGTTAGGCCAGGTGTGGTGGTGCCTGTGGGCCTGCAAGCCCCACTCTCAAGAGGCCGAGGCCAGAGGGTCCCGGGTGGGAGACCAGCCTGTCCTGGGAAGGGAGAGGAGGTGGGGCAAACTCCACAGCTGCTGAGATAGCAGAGCAGCTTCCCCGGCACTGAGGAGATTACTGGGAAGTCTTTGCCGGGAGAGTGGCACGATCCACAATTTGAGCCAGTGGGAAACCGTTCAGGAAAACAACAACCACCCCAACCACCCCAAACAAAGCAAGAAGAACACCCGCTGCGGGCAGCGCAGGCCAGCCCACCAGGCCAGCCGGCAAGTTTCCTGTTATCTGGCTCAGCCCCGTTTTAGGGGGAGCTGCTGAGCCATGTGGTAGGTGTGAGCAGAGACCTGCAGGGCCCCTGAGTGCCGGTGCTCCCCGTGAAGTCACGGCTGCCCAGGAAGCCACAGGGGCACCTAGAGGTGGCACTAGGCAGGGACACACACACACACACACACACACACACACACGCACGCACGCACGCACGCACGCACGCACATGAGTTTCACTGTTGCTGCTCTGGGTTCAGCCTCCCTCCCCGGCCCTGCTGGGTCCCAGGAAGATTCTGGATCTTCGGTGAGCCTTAATTTCCTGCACAGTGAAAGAAGGCCCCTTGCACGACACCAGTGATGTCAGGCTCAGTGAACACGTTGTCTACCGGAATGTGTCCTCAGCTCAGGCTCCCACCACCGAAGGCTTGGTGCGGGCCAGTCTGGGGAAGAAAAGCCTGAGGAGAACACAGTCTCAAGGTAGCCCCACGCTTCTTACCTTCACGGTTCAACCAGGTTTGTGTGGAGAGAGAGAAAAATCTCCTGTTCTTGTGTCTCCACCAGGAGGGAAGGAATGACTCTGAAGTGCCATGGGCCTTCT